ATGCCTGGTTTGATTGGAAAAGGCTAAATAAAATCTCCTAAAATCTCTAAGTAAATTTCCTTTTTGTACAGAAGCATACCATAAATAATGGATAGTTTAAGCAGTCAGTGTATGATACAGACATTAAGGGCCTGATCCTTGGCTTTCAGTACATCTCCTCTATACCACAGAGTAATACAAAGAGGAAGTAAAGCTACCGTAAGCCTGGTTTGATTGGAAAAGGCTAAATAAAATCTCCTAAAATCTCTAAGTAAATTTCCTTTTTGTACAGAAGCATACCATAAATAATGGATAGTTTAAGCAGTCAGTGTATGATACAGACATTAAGGGCCTGATCCTTGGCTTTCAGTACATCTCCTCTATACCACAGAGTAATACAAAGAGGAAGTAAAGCTACCGTAACAGAACAGATGGGGATACCCCTTGTGTGGACATAAAGCTGGTGTAGAACTGGCAGAACCATAGCAATAGCATCCTCAACACAGAGGGCAGAACAGTCTCTGACAGCACAAACCATTGCCAACCAACATAAATGGTGGGAGTACTGACTTACACTAGGTCTGAATCAGCAGCCACTAGGAGCTATGCTTTTCCCAAGGATGTTACACCTTTGCCTAGCTGAAGACATCCCAGCACCCTCAAGTTTCATAAGAATCTGGTAACGTTTTCAAGCTTTGCAAATGGGGATAGTACAGAACCAAAATATTTTTGATGCACAAATGAAAAAATAATTTTGTTTAAAATGATAGCACCAGATGCAAAGAAAAAATGGAAAGCGCATGCAAAAGTATTAATTAATGTTGCAAATCAATATGCTAAAGCACATTAAAAGCCTGTAATTGCACAGATTATTAAAATGATAGCTCCAGCAATTTCTATAATTCCCAGCATCCAGGATTATTGTTAAAGTCACCAACAACCAAAGATTTACTTTACCTTCAGTGCATTCCACTGCCATAGCTTTTCTTCCTTGTATTTTAAGAGAAAAGTCTGAGTATAATTCATGCACTCAATTAGCATTAACTGCCAGAAGACAACAAAGGTTACTGGCAAACTGTATTGCTAAATATGGATAAATATTCATATTTTAAAACAGCTCCATGTTGGTATTAGCATGGAAAAAATATGGTTGCACAGTTTAGATATATACAATAATAGAGTGAAAAAACCCACAAATGAACAGTTATATGTCTAAATTCATATTTATAATTCAATGTTTAAAAAGACCAGTCTAAACATTATTAAAATATATTTTCCCTCTCCAGGTTTCTTGTGCGTATGTACCCACACACACACACCATTTACACATTCATTTGCCTTTACTGTGATTAATTTCATTTGGCGCTATTTGTGATTATAAAGAAGTGATTATTAAATCACCACAACCATTAAAATTTAGAGATGAAATCTCAATAGTCAGACAAATCATTCTCTTGTCAAAGCACTGGCCCTCTCTTCTGTTCACAAACTGGATGAACTGAGTGACTTTTCACTAGCATTTTCAGAAAAGTAAATTGCACAGAGATGCCAGCAGAGATTCTCTAAACACTTTCAAAATGTTAGGTTTCTAAACATTTCTGTGTGCTGGCAAGTATAAATATTTTATAACTAATGTACAAATTGGAGCAACAGAAAGGTTAAGTGTTTTTTCTATGGTCATGCACTGAGCGCTTCAAATAGGAATTCTAATACTAAGTCATATGGTAATATTTACCAGCTTTTATTATGACTTCTATCTTCTTGCTTTCTTGATTGTCTTGGTCATTAAATACACGACACCAATAGGTCCCCTGATGTTCCATGTCCACATAAGACACCTATATAAATATCAGAACCACAGATCACAAAATACATAAAATGCATAAAAAATAAGTCTAAACATCCGTTACAGGACTTGAAATACAAAGGCCCTGATCCTGCAGCATAGGGTTCTGTTTACATGAAGCACTAAAAATCTATCTTGTTAATTTGAGCTGAATTAACAAGAATGGCATACTACATCTGAGATAAGTTTAGAAAAAAAAAGCCATATACAATATTCTTTGGCAGGAAATACAGAGAAGGTGCTGCAAACATTTAGTAAAAAATACAGTCACACCTCATCTTTTTGTAGCCTTCTGTTAAGTTGATGTCACTCTAGACTGGCATATAAAAGGATCTTCCATTGCCTCCAACCTGTTAATATCACCAGGGACCTGGTTCTCCTAACTAAACTTACATTAGAACTTTGCACTTCAAAGGGACTCAAAACCACTGTGGAAATACTAGCAATGGGACCCCAGAAAACAGAAAGGATTATTTATGTTATCTCAAGGTTACAATGATTTTTATAATTTAAAGTCTGTTTTATAACTAAGATAAAAGTGGTCAGGTTAGTGTGAGAAGTCAGCATCCCTCAATGACTTACCGTATATACTTTTCTGTTCCCATTTGTCAATGGAAATCCATTTCTGAACCACTGGTAATGAGGAACTGGGTTTCCAATAGCACCACACTCTAGAACTAATGTATCCCCTACCATCAGGTTTTGTGATTGGGGTTGACTGTAGATATGTATCTTGTTTTCAGGCAAACCAACCAAGCTTCCTTAAAATTTAAAAGACAAGGGGAAAAAAAAGAATTCACTGATTTTTTTTTAAAACACTGAGAAGCAAGCCTAAGAGTTTTTACTGTTCTGCCTTAAATAGGGGGGAGTCTGACAAAGGCAGTGTCTACACTACTAGTTTAGGTTGAACTTGGCCATATTAGGTCAAATTTATAAACAAAGCATCCAAACCACCAAGCCCGTTCTGCTGACTTTAAGGGCTGTTAAAATCGATTCAGGTACTCCTGGTTGTCAATTTGACCTTGCATGGTCGACTTTAGGGTAGTGCTGTCATAGTGCTGTGAAAGCCGACATTCTTGGACACCGGGAGGTATCCTACAGTACTTCAGTGTGGTCACTTTGACTATCACTTTCAACTCTATTGCTCTCCAGAAGCAATAGAAAAAGGTCTGGAAATTTGAATTTTGTTTTCTGTTTGGCCAGCGTGGCGAGCTGAGTAAGCAGCAGCACATCTAACCATGAATCCCCAGGGTAAATGAGCTCCAGCATGGAGTGTGCAGGAGACTCTGGACCTAATTGCTATGAGGGGAGAAGAATCTGTGCAGGCAGAACTCTAATCATCAGAAGAAATGCTGATATCTATCCCAAAATTGCATGGGGCGTGGTGGAAAAAGGATATGCCAGGGACACCCAGTGGTGTTACATGAAAAAAAGGAGCTGAGGCAGGTGAACCAGAAGAAAAAGAAGGCAAACAGACAGTCTGGTTCAGCGCTGCAAAAATGCCACTTCTATGAGCAGTTCCATAGGATTCTAGAGGAAAAGCCCAACCAGTGTCCCACAGTAATCCATGGATACTTCTCAAAATATTCTTCAGGTAGCCACAGGCAACAGCCCCCTATAAGTTTACTTGAATGTTTAACACTATATTTTAATAGTGTTAGTTGACAACTCCCAATAATATCAAAAGCCCCATTTTTTATATAAGACAGTAATTCTACCACTGAATATTTAAGGCTGAATGTTCTTCTGTAGGAACCTCCTTCAATGTTATGAACCTGAATGCTCATGATATACTGCTCTCACAGTATATAGGGATCAGCACCGTAACTGAAAATTTGACCACTACTGCTACTGAACCAGAAGTACAACTATGTGCCATAGACTCCCAACTGCATTTATATTCTGACACTTTTAGATGCCCCCAAAGTATTTCTTCAGTGCAGTGGAGCATAAGATATGCTACTGTTGACTTTATTTGCTGATTTTGACTTTTAATGAAACAAGAGTAAGTATTACCAATGTAAAATATTTTGATTTCAGATAAATCAAACATGAGATTTTGTTTTTACTTTTAAAAAATAAACAACAACATTATTCCCCACAACTCCAATGCAGGACACAACTTGCTTGCTTGCCTATATTCTTGAAGTTCAGGAAAAATGAAAACAAGATTCAAACAACTCTTGGATTGTTTTTACAAGACCCCAAAGCTTAACTGATTATAGTTTTGTATAACCAAAATCAAGTCTTCTTGTTTCATCTTCAAAACTTAATTGACAATATTTATAAAACAGATGCTTTTTAGCTTAAAGCTATAATCTGCAAGACATTTAAAACTGAAAAGAGGGATCTTAAAAATAAATGATTAACTGCTTGGTACCTAAGAAATTTATTCCATGTTAGAGATTCAAATATAAAGCAATAGAAATTACACACTTGGACTATTTACTTGCACCCTTTCACCCTCTCAATGGAGGCTTGTCATTCAAGTTGCAGCTCTATACACACACAACAAAAGTCAATCCAACAGCTGGTATACTAAAAAGTAAGTCATTTTATCCCTTGAGCAGAACTGCTAGATTATACTATCATTAAGTTTTAATGAAAATTAAATTTCAAAACTGTCTGATAGTGGGACTCAATACACAGTAATAGCTACTAAAAATGGTGATTGTGAAGAAATGTATAGCATTTCTGCCTTCAGGGATGTGCATGCATGAATTAAATTCCTAGCACCTCTAGTTTACATTACTGCAGATGGCTGGAAGTGAAATTTTTAGAGGGTTAGAATGAAACAACATTATTGTCACCAAGTTTAGTGTGTCAATATTTCTTCAATTCAAATAGTCAAATCTGACACTGAATCTATTAACTACAACAACAGAAATAATGTGCTCTTCTATAGTACTAGAAGTGCTTTATAAACATCAGTCACCTCTTCGTTCTAACTCATAGATAAAACTTCTTCCTAAACATGACTGTGTCCACAAATGTATTAAAATAGAAACTGCTAAAATATAGAGATTAAATATATTTCTACTGTACACACAGAAGCAACTTCATTGTGAGGAATTCAAACTTGCATGGAATAGATAGTAAAATTTTTAAAAATGATAGCAAGTGCAGACTTCCCTAAAAATAATATATAATGAAGCTTTGAGCTCAGCTGTTGTAGTCACTCATGTCAGAGCGTTTAGATTAAAGGTCCATAATATGTAGACACACGTTGGCATCTAACCTGTCAATCACTTGTGGATTAAGGGCTCATAACAATATGTATTGTATTCACTGACTCCATTTGGTTTCTCTTTGTCTCATTATACAATGTCTGAGCAACACAGCACGTACAGCATGGTGTATTTCAGGGATCATACAACACAGTTCCTCAAGGCAGAGATAGGAGAGTTAAAGACTAACACAACTGGAAATTTCAACTACATTTCACATTTTTGGAGGAATTAAGTTAGACCCTCTAATTTATTTCCTAAGGTGATTTGCAATGGCAAACAAAACTTGCCCTCTTTGAATAGAGATTGAAATCTTTTATGGGCATCCCAGAAACAGGACTGAAAGAAAGATCCAAGTCCTAGTACTGTATTCTACATTAGAAAGTAAGATCTCATCTACTCTAGTTATTCTTCAGCCTTCTGGAAAATCAGAGAGCAAGCAGAATTATGGCTTCCTGAGTACAAAGGAAACAGCACTGGCTGAAAATTGACTAACAACTATTTTCCATCATAAAGTGTTGATCTGATAAAACTGAAACATTTCTGGAAGTCTGAAGGGGCACATTCACTTTGGTAGGGGGACCAACAAGACTAATTCAGTCCTAACAAAGCACACCTGTAAGGCTTGCTCTGCATGAACAGAGAGGGGTGGAAGTTTAAAAAAGGGAAACCTGCCAAAAGAAGGCTGCTATACCTCAAAGATTGCTGATCATAGACACAGATCAGCTGAGAGAAAGAGATACTTGCAGGCCACAGAAACCTCTGAAACTGCATGGACCTGCTGTCAAGCAAGGTGCCCCAAGAGGGAGTACTGGAGGTAGACCCTACTTAAAGACAGTAGACCAGAAAACTGCCTGACTAGACAGAGAAAAAAACAGGAACTGTGTAGCACTTTAAAGACTAACAAGATGGTTTAATAGGTGATGAGCATTCGTGGGCCAGACCCACTTCCTCAGATCAAATAGTGGAAGAAAACTGTTTTTTGTTTCAGCTGCACCAGACTAACACGGCTACATTTCTACCACTGACTAGAGAGAGATCACCTTTGCCTTTTTTTCGCTTATTTCCCTCTCTCACAAGAGGAGAAAGAAAAGCACCTTTTTAGATTTGGGGAGGACATTATGAACAACACGGATCAAGATTTGGTTGAGAGTCAGACACTCTCCAGCACCTCCCACCCCCAGAAATGTATTAACTTCCCATGACATTTTTGATGAAATTATCACATTTTCATTTGACTTACTATTTTGACTTAATATAAACAAAAGATTAACATGTTTCATTTGGATAAGGTTAAAATGAAATATTTTGGTAATATTTAATTCCATAGCAAATTCAAACATAGACTTGAATCGTCCTGATTTGGGACAAAACAAAAGTTTAAAAACCTCAGAATTACATACAGAACAGAAATTCAATTGAGCAGCTCTAAAAGGAGGCGAAACTTGACCAATTATGATGAGTAGGGATTTTCAGGCAAATTATTTGTATTAATTCCTCAGATGCCTGACAATCAGTTAAAGGCCAAGAAAACTCCCTATAGTGCTCTTACAACTCCAGTAAAAAGACGAGGTAGGACTGACTATTACAGAAACATGATAGAAAAGATTTTTATCCCTTTAAAAGTCACACACATCTTCAGCCCTTCTTAATATGTCAGAAGGAAATAAAGAGACACAAAGAAGGCTGTGATGGTGAACAGCCCCTGCCTGTAGCAGGCCAGGGCACTCCATAGGCAGGGGATGCTTTGGTGTCCTGGCTGGAGCAGCCCTTGTCCACGGAGAAGCACCCTGAACATGACTGGTGAGGAGCTGCTCCAGCTCCCACCAGCTGACCTTAATTGGTAAACCTCATCCATTAAGGTTAAACATTCATATCTCTATGCCTAACATCCAAATCTCAACATTGGTCAACTTTAAAACCTAGGCAGACACTTGCTAACATAGTTGCTAGTGTTACTGAAGTATAGAAACACACACCCATTTAAGGAAGTCACACTGACAATTTAGCATTTGCTATCAACTTGCAGCTTCTTATTGCTTCATACACTTTGTAGAATTTTCATCTCTTGGCCTAACAGACGTGTATGTTTTCAAGTTCTTTGGCTTGGTACAGATTTAAATTGTGGTCTCCCTGTCTGTGGATAATGTGAGGCAAAACAGTGGTACCCCACATGCTACAAGGCATGTTCTAGGCAATCATAATCAGAGTTCATTTCCTGAAATAATTACCATTTATCCAATATCCCACAAATTCCAAGACAAACTACTTCTCTAACTAGACAAAGAATTAGTAAGAACATAAGAATGGCCATACTAGGTCGAACCAAAGGTCCATCTAGCCCAGTATCCTGTCTTCCAACAGTGGCCAATGCCAGATGCCCCAAAGGGAGTGAACAGAACAGGTAATCATAATGTGATCCCTCTTCTGTCATCAATTTCCAGCCTCTGACAAACAGAGGCCAGGACATCATTCCTACCCATTCTGGATAATAGCCACTGATGGACCTAATCTCCATGAATCTAGAGGAATTGGCATGGGTTGCAGACAGAGAGGTTCAAAGCCTCTGAGCATTTATGTCCTGACTGCTCCAGAAACAAAACAAGTCTGAATGTAGCAAAGGAGTTGCTGCCTCCTCCTTTGGCTTCATTATTTCTTATTTAAATTTCATCAGAATAACTGGATAGCACTTCAGTTGCTTAGCTTAAGTCATAGAAATGGTAAAAAGTTTGTCCTTTCTGTGCTAGGGATGGGTGGAACACATTTCTTAGGTAAAGTCGTGAGCAGAGATTTTCAAAAAGGCCTGAAGAAATCAGTTGTCCACTACCCATTAGCCTTTGAAAATGCCAGCTGGCAAATATAAAAACCAATCACATATTCAATAAACTCAAGCACATAGTATTATGTAAATCTGAATAAATATCCTACTGGATTAACACAGTATTTCCAATCTCAAAAGATTTCTTCCCTGCCCCTAGGCTCAGTTTGTCCTCTCATTGTATCTTACAATATCTGGAAATACTAAAAGCTACCTATCATCTCCCTTCCTGCACAGGTTTCTTGCTTTAACTATGGTTTTAATTTCAGGGGGTAAGATGAAGAATGTGAATGTTTTGTTGCCAATGTGATACAGTGCATTACTTTCTATTTGTATATATTCAGGCTAGGCAAAATTCAACTTTTTTAATAGTTTCAATGGATATAAATGTTTTTGTTATCTTAGTTTTCACATTTGGGCAAAATATTATAGGTTTTTAAATGCACATTTTTTATTCATTTAAATGTTCTCTGTGTCACCAGGAAGCTGAGGGAAGTGAAATACTGTTTAATTACAGAAGATGTTGAGATTCAAAAAGTAAAAGCTTTATAACCACTCAAACACAATTTGTCAACATCAATTCTCAGTATCATATGTCAAAACATAAAGTAAATACCCTTAAATCGACTTCTAATTTCTCAAGCAGCATTATTATTACTTTGTGTATCTATAAATTTCTGTGATCAATGGAAACCTTGTGTAAAATGAAATAAATGTTTACAGACATTTACTGATAACAATCTAATCTCTCAATCCTAAATAGATCCATTGCTGTTTAATTATCAGAACTTGTGCCACTTAGAAACACTTTTTGTTTGTTTCTCTCCATAGTATTACTAAATAGCCATGAGCCAATCCACTATGGGAGCCAATGTTACAATATGGTTGATTTAAGACTGTTAAAATACAGCTACACTTTGGTGAGGAGAGATAAGACCATTGTTCAGGTAATATCAAATTGAGTAATTCCTTAATTTTCAGACGTGAAAAAGGTTGTTTTAGCATTATTCCTGGCAACATTAGTGAAAGTTTGATCACTGTTCCTTGCACCCTTATCTTGCCTGTAGTAATATTATAAGCAGAACACTATAGTAGTTCAAAAAGTCTATAGAAAAGCACCACCTATCAGATATGTGATAACGTAAAATAAGATATCTTTTTAAAATAAGACAATTTGCTTGCTTTTTTTAACTTTGCACATTTCATCTCTTACCAGAACGTCAGTGAATGCCAAAATTTCCAAAAACTTAAAAAACTACAAATAGTCTTGCAGCACCTTAAAGATTAACAAAACATGTAGATGGTATCATGAGCTTTTGTGAGCACAACCCACTTCTTTCATCTGAAAAAACCATGAAAGCTCATGATACCATCTACATGTTCTGTTAGTCTTTAAGGTGCTGCAAGACTATTTGTTGGTTTTTAAGTTTTTCCAGTTACAGACTAACTTGGCTAAACTTCTGCAAAATTTCCAAGCAATGGAGTTAAGGAACAGTAAAAATGTGACTATTAGTTGTTCATCTGTAACATTCATTTAAAAAGTCCTGTGGATTATCCTGCCAAAATAACCACCAAAACCACACAGCCTCTGAAACAGGGAGAAATAAATAGTGTTAAAACAATAAGACCTAAGAAGTGGACTGCAAACTCTACTTAACTTTGGTGCTAACTAGATGGATTCAAGTGAGCAGATTTACTAAACTCTGAGAGGCTACTAAACTCTGAGAGGCTCTGGGAGACAGACCCATAGTCTCCTATAGACAACCACCTAACCTCAAGATGATTCTTACCAACAACCACAGGACATACCACACTAATACCAACGCTGGTACCTTCCCTTGCAACAAACTCTGTTGCCAGCTTTGTCTACATATTCACTCTGCTGATACCATTATTGGACCTAACCAAGTGAGTTATAAGATCAAGAGCACATATTCCTGCGCATCTAGAAATATAATTTATGCTCTCATGTGCCGAAAGTGTCCGTCTGCTATATACATTGGACAAACGTCTCAGACACTTTGCCAAAGGATCAATGCCCACAAGACAGATATTAGACAGGATCACAAAGAAAAAACAGTTTCTTGCCATTTCAACCAGAAAGGACATTGTCTCAATGACTTGATTACCTGCACCCTGCTTCAAAGGCCTTTTAAGAATACACTTGAAAGAGAATCCTCTGAACTGTCATTCATGCTAAAATTCGACACTTTACACTTAAGTTTGAAAAACACTCTAATTATCTTACCCATTACAAAGATAGCTTCCCCAATTATCACCTCTAATATCATTATCTCACAGACATTTACCTCCCCCCTGGCATTCCCCTTCTGTTCTGAAATTTGATTTGTCCTTTTCATATGTGTTCATTTTTTTTAATTGTATCCTTTGGTATATATGGTTGTAACAATTTTCTTCCACTATTTGATCTGAGGAAGTGGGTCTGACCCACGAAAGCTCATCACCTAATAAACCATCTTGTTAGTCTTTAAAGTGCTACATAGTCCTGTTTTTTTGTTTTAGTATCATTAACTGTGTAGTTGTAAACTTACAAGAATTCTAGTCACACAGAAAGCATTATTTCACTCAGTTTATAAAACAAACACTGGATGCAAAAAGTACTTGTCTACATAAAGTCACTTTTTTTTTAACCTATTGCTCAACACATATATAGTGGTTTATATTCTCAAAGTGCTGTGTATTAGGGCTAGTTCACAAGTTAATCTCCTCTCAATTTGCTTGGTGCAGCATATGTCTGTTGATGTGCCACCACAGCTATGCTGAATCATGGCAGGCATATTAGGAGCAATGGAGTCAAGGCTACACCATTAATTCCCACATTCCCACTTACTTGGGGGACAGGAGGACAACAATACATAGCAAGCTCTGCAGAACCTGTTTTCCCTCTCTCTACCTCTCTGTATGTCATAATGGCTGTGTCTAGACTGCATCCCTTTTCTGTAAAAGGGATGCAAATTAGACACATCGCAATTGCAAATGAAGCGGGGCGGGGGGGGATTAAATCCCCGCTTCATTTGCATAAACATGGCTGCCACTTTTTTCCGGCTCGGAGCTTTGCCGGAAAAAAGCGCCAGTCTAGACGCGGATCTTTCGGAAAAGGCTTTATTTTCCGAAAGATCCGCGTCTAGACTGGCGCTTTTTTCCGGCAAAGCTCCGAGCCGGAAAAAAGTGGCAGCCCTGTTTATTCAAAAGAAGCGGGGGGGGTTAAATCCCCGCCTCATTTGCAATTTCGATGTGTCTAATTTGCATCCCTTTTACAGAAAAGGGATGCAGTCTAGACACGGCCAATATGTATGGGTAGCCAGCTCAAGGCAGAGAGGCATAAAACACCCCCTTCACTAATGTGTGTAATTATGAATACTGGCAGACAATCTAGGCTTGAGCTAGTTAAGTCATTACAGCAAGTGAAAGACTCTCCACAGCAGACTGAATTTAGCAGATGCATATTTACATTATGCCTACTGAATGATGAGCTAGTTCATCTTTCCCACCCCAAAATCTGCACAGAGGGGACCCATTGTGAAAGCCATTTTCAACTTACCATAAGACATTCCCTGGATATCACAAACGTCGAGTTGTGCCCACCGACTGAACACAAAGGAAGAATCGCTGTTCACTCGACAGATGTAAAACCCAGAATCACTTACACTCACTGGGTTAAATATCAACTCTGGGGAATTCCCATGTGGAACCTGTATTACATATGAGCCACAGAAAAATTTAACTGAAACTGACTGGTGCTGCTTTGGAGAAAACATTAGAATATTTATTTCTAGCAATGACAATATGGACTACTATCACATTTTCTTAAAGTCTATTTCAAACTAGTTTTGTCCTCAGCCTTTAATGTTTTAAAGACAAATTTTGATTCAAGGACAGATTGGTGTTGCTGCTATTAAATAAAAAGGGACATTAGAAATTTTCTTAGAGTGCATGTTCTTTCAGGAACTTCAATTCTCAATCTTTATATCTTTTCCACAAATAACTAGATGAGATTCCCAAAGCATTATTTCAGTTAGCATTTATGTCATATCAGTACTGTCATAAGCAGACATAATCAAATCTGAACTGGAAACTGTTAGGCTACGTCTACACTGGCCCCTTTTCCGGAAGGGGTATGTTAATTTCAGAAGCCGTAATAGGGAAATCCGCGGGGGATTTAAATATCCCCCGGGGCATTTAAATAAAAATGTCCGCCGCTTTTTTCCGGCTTTTAGAAAAGCCGGAAAAGAGCGTCTACACTGGCCCCGATCCTCCAGAAAAAAAGCCCTTTTCTGGAGGATCTTATTCCTACTTTGAATTCCTTTGAAGGACTTTAATATCATTGCTAATATAAAGGTTCATTAATAGGCATTCCTATTACAGGAAAATATGCCTAGATAAAAGATTGTGCTCTGCTTTAACTGGGGAGTGCTACTCAGGCTCTAGAAATATGGAGCATATGCAGCAACTTTGAGCCAGTTGTAGAAGGATGGATGACAGTTTTTTGGTAAGGATTTATATTCTGCAGACTGACTTTTACCCAATACCTCTGTCAAATCCCTGAGATTTCCTATATTTGGTTATTACCTCTTTTTCCTGTTTGAACCACTGATAGTGCACAAATGGAAGTCCAGTTGCCCAACAACATAGCTTGACCGTTTGTCCAGATAGTACCGCCTTAGGGTCTGGCTGTACAACAATCTTTATTCCTTAAAAAAAAAAGAGAGAGAGAAAGTTAAGACATCACAAGAATGAGCTTTCTTCTACTTATATTCTGAAAGTTAAATATTGTTGCACAATTAGAACGACACTGCTGTACTTTTGCAGTCAATCTACCTACTACGTGTACCTTACAATTGTCTGACTTGTTTAACTACAGTAATTAAGATTAGTTGTAAAAGGTACATTGATGGTTACATACTTTTTTAATATTAAAAATTATTACTTTATTTCACTTTTTAACTGCCACAGCACTTTTTAACTGCTCAACTGAAGGTTGAGGGTCTGTTGCCAGAGAAAGGATTTAACTTTTTGTAGACTAGACAAGTTCTTTCAAAATATGTATTAAATACAAATTCACAAATCACATTTAAGGCCCCAATACACAGCCACAGTGGAATGTAGGGGACTCAGTGTGAACAAGAATAAGGCCTTTTAAATGTTTTGTTCTGTTCTTGATATGTTGCTGTTTGATATCTCATTTTTATTACCCATTCTTGAATTTATCCAATAAAATTATTTTAGCCAAACAGGGGCATTTCTAAACTCATTTCTTCATAGAGACTTGTTTTTTTCCCCAAAAATTGTTTTTCCATTTTTGACAGAAATGGGTGATCCTTACTGGGTACCCAGATTACCACCTGTAGCCCATCACCTTGGGGGAGGAGGCGGGAGCAGGAGTCGGCCACCCCACACTTGGGGCAGCCAGCTCCAGCTGCTGGCCCCCTTTGTGCAGGATCCTGCTTACTCAGTTAACCAGTTAAGTCTAAGGTTTAACTGATTAGGGATGTAAAATCCTGGTTAATCAGTTAAAGTGAACATCTATTTATTCTAGGGATGTAAGTTGAGTAGTTGACCCCAGTAAGCCTAGACTTATCAGGTAATCAAGTCACGACTCGACCACTTGCTCCTCACCTTGCTGCCTCTATATCAGGAAAGTGGGGGAAGAAGGAGCTGGTGCTTGGGGGAGCCAGCTTAAAAACCGGTTCCTCCCCAGCACCATCTCCGCACTGCATGGACAGGGGAGGCAGACAGCAGCTCTTACTACATTTAAAACACAGAGGCACAGCAGAAACTGGGACTGCTCAGTCCTGGATTGTACCAGGTCCCAGACCTACCTTGCTGCAGCTCTGCATTTTAAATACAGGAAAAGATGAGCTGCCTGCCTGCATGGCTCCTACTGCATTTAAACTTCAGAGCCACAGCGGGGGTAGCTCTGTCTTGCACCTCTCCTTTGATACAAATTATATCAACTACACTATTAGTCAATTACCCCCTTCTCAACATACTTAATTCATTCACCTGTTGGTTTTTCTATGAACATGTGTGTTTACGGCCTTTTCCCCTATTTTGATTGATCATCTGGTGGGAATTTTTTCCAGATGAGGAAACTAGACATGAAGAAAAGTCCAGTGTTTAGGGCACTAGCCTAAGATTTGGGAGACCAGCACATAGTTTCCTGCTCTACCATACTTAGTGTGATCTTGGACAACTCACTGACAACTTGTTTTCATGGAGAAATTGACTAGAATAGTTACTATGGAATAAACTATTCTGCAATAATTCCCCATCTGGATACTCTTAAACAAACACAGAAGTCCCCTGGGGAGTTACTGTGGAAAAGCTATACCACTCTAACTTCACACTAACTTATCATAAAATAACCTCCCCATGTAGACAAGTCTCCCATCTGTAAAAATGCACTTCCCTCCCTTACAGGAGCATTGTGTATTGAGTATACGAGGCATTGGTGAGACCCCATTTGGAATACTGTGTGCAGTTCTGGTCTCCCATGTTTAAGAAGGATGAATTCAAACTGGAACAGGTACAAAGAAGGGCCACTAGGATGATCCGAGGAATGGAAAACCTGTCTTATGAAAGGAGACTCAAGGAGCTTGGCTTGTTTACCTTAACCAAAAGAAGGCTGAGGGGGGAAATGATTGCACTTTTTAAATATATTAGAGGGATAAATACCAGGGAGGGAGAGGAATTATTTAAGCTCAATACCAATGTGCACACAAGAACAAATGGATATAAGCTGGCTAGTAGGAAGTTTAGACTTAGATTAGAAGAAAGGTTTCTAATCATTAGAGGAGTGAGGTTCTGGAACGGCCTTCCAAGGGAAGTAGTGAGGGCAAAAGATCTATCTGGTTTCAAGATGAAACTAGATGGGTTTATGAAGGGGATGGTTTGATGAGATAACAGGATCTTGGTAATTAATTGACCATTCATTATCAGTGGGAAATAGGTCAATGGAGGGATGATAGGAGTTACTATAGAGAACTTTCTGGGTGTCTGGCTGGTGAATCTTGCCCACATGCTCAGGGTTTAGCTGATCGCCATATTTGGGGTCGGGAAAGAATTTTCCTCCAGGGTAGATTAGCAGAGGCCCTGGAGGTTTTTCGCCTTCCTCTGTAGCATGGGGTACAGATCACTGATGGAGGATTCTCTGCATCTTGGGGTCTTCAAACTATTTGAAGGCTTCAATATCTGAGATATAGGTGAGAGGATTATTCTAGGAGAGGGTGGATGAGATTCTGTGACCTGCATTATGCAGGGGATCAGACTAGATCCGTGGTCCCCAACCCGGTGCCCGCGGGCACCATGGCGCCCGCCGGGCCCTTTACGTGCGCCCGCGGAGCAATCTGGGCTGGCCCCGCCCCCGGGCGTGCGGCAGGTGCCAGTCTCGGACGCATGGCCGGCCCCGGCCC